CAAAGCCAACCATACATCAAATGAATTACTTGTAGCCAAAGAATTTCAAAAGCAAAGTTATAAAAATAATTCCTATAATTTTTCACAGGGAAAAACTATATTTAATGTGTTTGATGTGTGTGAGGTGGAGCCTTCAAGGCAAGTGTCTGAAAACAATCTTGATGTCTGGCCTAGGGGAAGGAAGCATATGCTGGATTCCTCCAGAATGAATGGGCGAAAAAATGGCAATCCAAAGTGATGCTGAAAAGTGTCAAGGTGGGAGGAAAGGAAGAAAAACAGAGAGGAGAAATATATAAAATGTAAGCCAAAGTTTTAAGGCAATGAAGTCCTCCAGATCAAGAAATCCAAGTCCCCATCACTGACAGAAACAGGCCATATCTCCCCCTACTGGCTGGAGGAGTGTGTTACAGATCCCAGAATTATAGCTTCATTTATTGCTCTGTCTTTGTTGCTTTTCCAACACCAAGATAATCAAAGCCCCTTGGAATTGCCTCAGAGAAAGAAATCAGTGGTCCCTGAGGATCAAGATCCTACCCCTCCACCAGGCAGGGAGCAAGGAGGGAGTTCATAACTGGCTCTATGTCAGATATCCTGCTTCAGACCCAGTCCCATCTTGAACGTATTTCTACCTTCCTCCTGAGGCATGTCTTGGCTAACAGAATCCATATGTTTCTTCCTCTGATGGGAAAGAGGCTTTACTTTCATTTCAAAGGGCATTGTTGAAAAATCTGAGGGACATGACTTTGTTCTAAGACAAGAAATATTGGAAGTAATCAGAGATAAACAGAAAGATTTATGTATAAGATGTTCACTGCACCATTATTTATAATAGTGAAGAATTGGAAACAGCTTGCATGCCCAACAACAAGGGCTTGGTTGGGTACATGATGAACTACCCACACAATAGAAGTTGATATAGCCATTAACATCATGTTTTTGAAGATTATTTTACAGAAATTGCCAACCTTTCTGAGCCCTTCCCAGGCAGGATTATCAGTGCTTTACAAGTATTAACTCATTTCATTTCGTTCAAAAACCTTATGAAGGCAGTGGTATTTTTATTATCCCATTTGACACATGAGGAAACTGAGGCCAGGGTCCCAGGGCTGGAGGTGCATGTTGGACTGCTTTGCAATGCCAGATGCTGTTGACCCCTGGAGGAGGGTCAGATGAGTTCCTTCTGGGACCGTGGCAAAGCTGCAGTGGAAAAAGGTGGACCCAAGCTGCAGTTTGAGGGACGATGAGATCTTGTCAGGTAACTGTCACATGGAGTAGTGATAGGATGGGGCAGAGCCCAAGGGAAATCCCAGGAGAGTCCACTTGCAGGTGGAGGAGGTCAAAGAACACTGGGGAGGTGGTCAGGCTAGCACATCAGATGCACTATCACTGTACACTGAAAACCACCAAATAAACCACAAAAGCCTGGGGCTGAGGCCTTTCGGCCAGTGCCAAGCGGAGGCAGCAGGAATTGTAAAACTTTGAGGATCGCAGAGCTTGCCCAGGCACAATGCTGAGCACTTTCCCTGGCTGGGTGGCTCAGTAGCTCCCGAGGACCAGTCTCTTCTCATTCCTTCATTATTCCCAGGTCACAGATGAGAAAAGTATAAGGCTTGGCTGGATGAGCAATTGGGCCTGATATCCTGACTGGGAAGCTACAGTGGCTGGTGTTGCCTGGGGTGGTGCAGAGGTCAGAGGCCATGTGCTTGGGCACTTTGCCACAAGCACTCTGCCAGGAGGTGGCTGCCACATACAAGATCAGGCACATGCTTACCCCAGTGGCTGATGCTGTTTTCTGTTCCATCAGCCTCTGTGATTTAGGGAAACGGTTCCATATGAAAATGATGGCAGGGCCTCCTGGGTTTAGGAGGAACCCTCAGAAGCCCTTCCCTGGCCATGTGGGAGCTGGGAAAGGGGAAAGACTCCTCCATGGTTAGGGAGAACAGCCAGACGGCTCTAGCACCCCTCCTCTGAGAACCACCCTCTGGTATCCTGCTAGCAGTGGGCCTACTGCCATGGAGCCAGGGCTACCAATCCCCTGGGGATTGCCAACCAGGGTCCCCTGGGCCACTAGACGGGGACTCAGCTGCTGGCCATGGCCACTGAAGAACATTTGGGGTAGGAGCAGGAGGCAGGCAGCTGTGTTCCCCATGTGCATAAGAGGAGCTGCCTGGGAAATGGGGAGAGAAAGAGGAAGAGAAGCAGAGAGAGGGGAAGGAGCCCCAGGCCTGACTTTGCAGTTCCAGGTTCTAGTTCCTCCAAGGTGGGGCCTAAGCTTTCACCCTCAGGAGTGTCCTGCCCTCAAGTGCTCATTTTGCTTGGGCGACAAAGCTCATCCTTGCAGCCCAGTGGATAGACACTGGCGTTCACATTGCACCGTCACTGTCACTGCCATATGACACACTTGAACTTTCATGCCAGCATCTGGGACCCTTGCAACCTGCCCTCCTTGGTCCACTCCCCATCATTAGCTCTTAATGGCCCCCTGATGCACAGGAAATAAAGGTCTAGTTTCCCCAACATAGTGCTCAAGGCCTCTGTCTTCTCTCAAAGCCTCTTCACCCCCAGTTCAGATTTTGAGTCTGGTTGGATGGAGCTGCTCTTGGTTTTCTTCTCCACGCCTGTGCCCATTTCTAGTGCTTCCATCTTAGCCTTGCTGACCACCACTGTGTTTGCAGGAAGTCTTTTAATGCTGCTTCCAGCTCTCCAGGAAAACTCAAGACCTCTCAGGCTAGGCAGTCTCGTCCGTGTGCCGTGCCTCCCAGCCTCGCTCAGCCCATCGAAACTCAGCAGAGACCCCTGACCTCCTCTCGGTCTCCCCAGTGCCACATTCGGTGTCAGCTGGCCTCTCTCTACCCACCCATCTCCTGACTGCTCCCCTAACCATTGACCTGATTTCCAAGGGAATGCCCAGGTCTCTAATTTAGAGGTGACAAAACTAGGCTCAGAGTGAGGGAGCATCACAGAGCATGAAGTGCCAGGCCCTGAGTTAGATGCCTGGACTGTCTGCTTCAAACCCTGTATCTCTGCTGCAGGCCAACACCAGGATGACTTTATTTAAACCTGTGCATTCTGTGGAAGGCTGCCAACTGCTCTGAGCTCTGCAAGACACCATGGGCTCCAGAACTGGAACTTGGGCTCCTGCTGTTCACTGATGCCCTTGTTTGGGCCAAAGAGTCTCACCCTTTCCTGGTTTTGTGCGTCTTCTCCATGACAATCAGTTCCTTATTCCTGCTCCTTCTTCCAGCCCACATGTCCCCTTCTCTCTGAAGCTCCCCAGGGACCTAGGACTGCTGCCCATCACCTCCTTGCATTGTGCCACCATGGAACCAGTAAGCTTATCTGTGACACCAAAGGCTGCCATGCTGGGCTTGGTCCCTACCCACTGCACCTGTCTGTCTCCTATAAACTGCGATCTCTGTATTATTCACTCTTAGAATAGGTGCTTAGGTAAAGTGAGTTTTAGAAGGAAGGAGGATGGAGGGAAGAGACAGGGAGAGATGAAGATTGCAAAGCACTTAACATGAGGACCCCCACAGACCTCGCGGAGACAGGAGCACGAACTCTCAGCTTCCTACAAAGAAAGACTGAGGACATAGGAATTCTGTGGTGTCCTCCCCTCCCCAGCCTGCCTCGGTACAGGCTCCTAGGCCTCCCAGATCTCTCGGGTGTAGGCTGCCTGGCATCGCTGGCACGAATTCCTTTCTGGCCTTACTCCTCAGCACTGCCCAGGTGGTGCCCCAACTCATCCCATTTCCTTGAGCCTCCCCTTGCAGCTGCATCTAGGATCAGTCCCACAGGGCGTCTGCCCTCGAAATCTGCTCCCTGGCAGGGAAGTAGTGGCAGGGTCCCTGGGAGGACTTGCCTTCGCCAGGGTCAACCCCAGGCCCAGGACAGCAAGGCAGAGGCCCAGAGGGGTGTGGACGGACAGCTCCCAGGGCAGCCTTAGAGGGCCCCTCCCCCGGATCAAGTCTAATTTTCCTCTGTCCGTGAAACAGCAGCAACACCCCAAGCATCCAGCCAGGCCCAGCCCAGCCCTCTCTCTGCAGTTTCTCTGCCCTCCCAGTCCCCTTGCCCAGGTGGCGAAGGTCAACCATGATGTCTCTAGAGGCGGTCACCTGGCCAGTTGCTCACCACACTCCTTCCGCAGAGGCTGAGCCTGTCAGGTGTCTCTTACTACACAGAGGAGCCAGAGCGCTGCTGACAGGGTGGGGACCAGGTGGCTGCGACCTGGCTTGGAGGCCTGGCTTTGTCCCTGAGTTGCTGTATATCCTGGAGCCACTGACCCCATCTCTCGGGCTCCAGGTGCCTCCCTTAGAGGGCAGGGACAGCGGCACTAAGGCCCCGTTTCCTCTTTTCTCCCCATGCCCACAGTGACCAGAAACCACAATTCCCGGTTAGGGTAAAGCTCGGCACATGGACAATGAAGGTTCCCCTTTTTCTAAAAAAAACAAAATAACAACAAAAACAGCAACCTTTGTATTCTGTGAGGGCTTTTTCCTGCACCTGCACCCCCTGGGTATCTGTCCATGGAAGTGTCGTAGACTCTTGGCAGAGTGCTGGGGAGTCGATGTTCTTAGGTTCCCACTCTAAAGATGGGAAGTGAAGCGCAGAAAAATTCTGTATTCTGCCTGTGATGCCCAGCAGGAGAGGGCTGAAAACCCAGACAAGGAAATGTTAGCATCCCATTTCGTGCTGCAGGACTCTGAGCACCCCCACCCTCCCTTCCCCACAGGACCCGAGTAAAGTTGGAGTGTGCAGTTGGATTTCAAGAAATTTTCCTCAAATTTAAAATTAGAGCCTTTATAGGTCACAATCTCTTACTATAATCTAAATTTTTAAATTAAAAAGGAATACACTAATGTGACTGAAAATATTCTTAACTACTTAGAAATTAATAAACACACTTCCGGGTAACCCACTGATCAAAGGAAACATAACAACTGAAATTAAAAACTGTCAAGAAATGGATGAAAAGGAGAACATTTTATTTCAAAATCTACGGGTTCCTGAGAAAAGCTTGACTGGCGGGGGGAGTGGGGCCTGAAATCCCTTTATTATTAAAGAAGAAAGACTAAAAATAAAGGCACTGAATACACATCATAAGAAATGGGGCGAAGAGGCAAACAAAAAAAGAAAGGACGAAATGGGAATTAATCAATAGCTAAAATTAATAACAGAAAATGAGAACAAGGAAAGATAAATGCACAAGTGGGATGCTTTGAAACCAGAAGTGGCAAGAGAGGCCTGTGGCTGTCTCAGCCTCATGAGCGCTGTTTTGCTCGGCTCCTCGGAGTGCTGAGCCCTGGGCTCCTCATCTCTGTTCACCGACCACAGGGCCTTGAAATTGCAGAACCCAGGCGCTGCACTGCAGAATCTGGCGATTTTGCTATCCAGGCAAGACTCTTTGGACTAAAATCTTTAGCATTTCCTCCCAGAAATAAAACTCCTACGTCTGGGCTTATTAAACAAATGAGTCAGTTTTGTCTTTTTCAGCAATGAAAACTGCTGTGGTTTTGTTTTCTCCTCCTTGCCAGGAGTCAAGAGGAAGTCTGTGGTTAGACATGTTCGGGTGGAGACCAACTCTTAACATTGCAGAGATTAATGAACTCCTAGATTCAAGCTTGCAGCCCAGCCAGTGGGGCTGATGACCCTGAACAGATGGAGGGGACAGAAAGGTCTCCAGAACCTCTGTCCCCACCCTGCCTCTGCTTCCCAGTCTGACATAAGATCCAGTGGACTAGCTTTGTCTTCAATGCATGATCTGTTTCCACTCAAATCCGGAGGCTGGATTTCAAAGATCCCCGGGGATCCAGTGCCCATCTCTGCGTGGAGGCTGGGACCCATCAATCCTCCCGGTGGCGCTCCCTTCTTTTCCATCAAAACCCCAGATTTGTCAGGGGTTATAGTGCAGGCAACTGAAAGAGTTTCCTTCCCCAGCCTCTGTGTAGCTGGAGGTTCAGCATTTGCTTACAGTGCCGGCCAACATCACAGCCATTGCTGGGTGTCTAAGAAAGGGTTCACATTCCCAATGTGAGCACTTGCTCTCCTTCGTTCTTCCTTCTTCCTCTTGCTTGGAATTTGAGCAACAAGCAGTGCCTTGCGTTTACAAGGTAGCATAGGTGAGGATGGGATGGGAGAGAAAGAGTGGATCAGACACCCAGTGGTATTATTAAGTCACTTCCTCCTGCTCCTTATCATGTCCTGGACTTCTTAGATCAGGGAAAATAAAATTCCATCTCATCAAACCGCTCCAGTGGGCTGTTGTGTTACTTGCAGCTGAATGCATTCCTAAATGGCTTTCATAGGTTTTCCAAACATCTTCACCTCCTTCTCTTATGAGGCCCCCACAGAACTACTTCATAGTAGATTCATGACTTTCCTTCTATTTTTAGATGGAGAAGCTGAGGTTCCATGGTGGATTGGACAAAGAATTTGTGCTAGAACTCCAAGACCCTCTGTTACCCAGTTCTTTGCTTGTCCCAAGAAAAATCCTTCTTGCCCCCAAGATGATCAGAGGTGTCCTTTCCACGGGATAGTTTCCCACACACTGTGTCCCATGCAAGAGGGGAAATTCCTCAAGAGCCTGGCAGCCTGTGAGTGGTGGCAGTCCCACCTCCAACAAGAGCAGGGGTGCTCTTTCTTCTTAAAATCTGTCAGTCTGAGTCAAAAGATCAGGGCTCAGGTCTTGGGTCTCCCTTACTCTCTGTGTGATCTTGGGGAAAATCTCTGAACCCCCCTCCCCAGGCGTCTATAAAATGGGAGTAGCCATTCTTCTCCCTGGAGGCTACCACAAATCCAAAGATCCAAGATGATCTATGATATGTTATAGAGCCTGTGGATAATCGTCCCTGAGTGCTCAGGATGTCAGAACAGCACTTAGGGCATGATAAAGCACAGGGTGTCCTGATGATGGGGCTGCTGGCAAGATGACTTCAGTCTGTCTCCGACCCGACTCCTCCCTGAGCTCAGCCCTCTTGATGGTTGATGTGTAAATTACCGATATGCTCCCCATGCCTTTGTGACCACTCGTCACAGTTTGCCTGCCTCATCGAGGCTAGAGCATTGATCTCATGAGACTCTGTACCTTTCAGAGAGGATCATTTCAGCATGACAATTCTTACTAAGTCAAGGTACTCAGTTTCATAAGTTCTTTACAGTGGACCCTTGGCTTACAAACTCAATCAGTTCCCAAGGGCTGGTTGTAATTCAAGTTGGTTATAAATCACTTTGGCTGAGATCTGGATGTTTACCTGGGTACACACTGTGGGTAACAAGAGGCAGATAAATCTTCCATTAACCTAATTAACCCAAGTTGTTCATATGTCAGCCCAATTGCAACTTGAGGGTCCATTGTATTTTCTTAGCAACTGGAATTTATTTACTCATACAATTTCAAAAATATATGTGTATTGTGCTAGACATTGTGCTGGGGACTTTCAGGATGGGAAGGAACTTGAAAAGCATCTGGTTCACACTGGATGTGGCAGCACACACCTGTGGTTCTAGCATTCTGGGAGGCCAAGGCAGGAGGATTGCAAGTTCAAGCCAAGCCTGGGCAATTTAGGCAATTTAAAATAAAAAAGGACAGAAGATATAGCTCAGTACAAAGACAAAATAATAATATTGATAATAATAATCTATTCTAGACTTCCTTCCAAGCTGAGCCTCCTCATACAGGGCTGGCATCCCCTCTTTCTGCTCCTGCACTCAACACCCATGGACATAGAGCATCCTCGGGCCCACCTTGGGGCCAGTCTGTCCCTTGGGTGTCTGTGTGTTCTCTAGAATGTCCTCCTTGGCAGACACCAGGATGTGTTCTTGGCAAACTCTGTGCTGTGCACACTTGACTGTGTGGGATGGAGACTGGCAGAGTGAGTGGGGACGAGAGGGCCCCTGAGAGGTGTTGCCAGCAGGAAGTGCCATCTGGGCTGCATGGCGATGGTGAGGACAGCATCAGTCAGCTGCCACCGTGGCTTCCAAGAGTTTGTCCTTCATGCCAGGAAGGAGCTCAGAGCAGGTGCCATTCAGCGAAAGCCGGCACACTGAGGGAGGCCAGGCTGGGCTGCAGCAACAGCATTCAGACCTGGGGGGAACGAGAAGGAAAGCTGATGCCTTTTTCCTCCTGTGTGCCAGGAGAGGTGGGAGGCCCTGCCCCACTTTGCATACCAGAAGGAGCTCAGAGCTAAGTCACTACTGTAAGGGAGGGGAGGAGACGCAGTGCTCTTATCTGCCTGCATCTCAGCCTATTGGTCAGAGTGAGCCACGTGGCCCCAATGGATCAGCAAGTGAAGCTGGGAAATGCAGGGGAGCACATGGACTATGTAGGGTATGCTGTCACCCCCACCCCATCCGACATCTCCCAGAAGATCTCAGGAGATATCGTTATGGAAACGAGAGTCAACTCTGCAAAGAAGAAGAGCTCAGCAAAGTAATGCAAGAGTACAATAATGGGACCAGCTGGGTGTGGTGCCTTACTCCCAGCTTCTCAGGAAGCTGAGACAGGAGGATTTCCAGTTTAAGGATAGCCTGGCCAACTTAGAGGATCCTATCTCAAAATAAAAAGTAGTAATTTTTTAAAAATAAAGATAATCAGGACCTTGCTGCCATTTGCGGCAAGTAGCTGTCACACGGCAGTGTGTGGTGAGGTTTGCCATGGTGCTGTGTGTGCGAATGTGATGAGCCCAAGACTGGTCTGCAGAGCACCCTCATCACCACATTCGCCATCCCCCACTGCCAAAAACATGGTCCTTGTCTCTAAGTCTCTGCCCCAGCTCTCAGAGAAGAGCTGCATCTTGCCCAGCCCAGTTTCCAGGGGAGTAGAGAGACATGGACAGCACTGAAGCCAGGAGGGAAGGAACCCTAGGGCTTGCTCAACCCATTCCAGAGCTCTCCTTGGCAGGAGGAATTGGGGTCAGAAACAAAGCAGAACAAAAACTAAAGAATGAAGCAGAGGAGGAAAAGGAGGAGCCATAGACGTGGAGCCTACGTGTAGAACAGAGACAGGAAGGACCCAAGGGAGGTGGTGCAGCATGTTGGCTGAAAGTCGGGAGAGCCGGGGTGTTCTGTAGGGTGCAGGCTCCAGAGAGGCATTGACATTCATGCCTGCGTGATGGAGAAGCAAAGGGGCCTCACTGATTTTCATCTTTGACAGATGTGCAGAGACTGAAAGCTCTGCACTCCCCTGTGTTCACCAGAGGGACTCTCCGTGGAACCGGGCTTTAGAATGTGGAGACCGAGTCCCTAGGGGTCCTACAGGTACTCACTCGGGTTTTGGCAGTAAAAGTCCAACACTGAATGAGTGTTGCATTCCCCAAACACGCAAGGCACCTGCGTGACAACCAGAAAGCGGCCACCACCGCTCAGAGGGGCTGAGCAAGCCTGGGGTGGGACAAAGGTGAGGAGAGTGAGGCACTCACAGCTGCACCAGCTTCCCGGCGCCCTTCCCAGGAGCCTGCTTCCTGGACTGGAAAGCACCTCTCTGCCCCGGCTCTGCACAAGGCATCTCCCCTCATGGGGGGATGGGGACATCAGCTTTGTTGGCTGCCAAAGCTCAACATTGACTCATCTGAAACTTCCTGTCAACTAAAACCCGGACACCTTTTCACTTGTACTGTGGGCCCGGGTACCCCACATCCTGCCTGTGTCTGGGTTATTCTGAACCCCAGGGGGAGCAGAGGTCTCTGCTGCCTTTCTTGGCCTGTGGTCATTGTGACTGGCTCTGTATCCCAGGCCCTCGTGGATCTCGCCTCTCCTCTGCTCTGTGTCATCTGTCCCTCCCACCTGCCCACATTCCCCTCAGGGCAGGACAGCTAAGTGCCCCCTATGAATCAGTGGACACACTTTTGGAGTCAGACCCACTGATGGCTGTGAGACCATGGGCAAGCAACATTTGCTGGGCCTTCATTTCCTGATCTGTAAAGGAGTGATAAAAAGGGGGGTGCAAGCATCCTGTGAGCAGAAACAGAAATAATTTATGTTACATATTGGCAGTGGTTGGTGATGCTTAGGAGAGTTTTTAAAGTTTTTAAATTTTCATTCTTTCCCTCCATCTGCAATTCTATTAGCAGGAGGCATGCAGTCACTGATAAAAGTTTGAATAAGATGGGCCAAAGACTGAGTTCCTAGGCATCCACTAGAACCCTGCTCAACATGGCTAGATTCACCCATTCCATTTGGATGTGTCCCCTTGACAGCTCCCAGCCCACCTAGTTCCTCCAGAATCCCACCCTGTCTCTTCATCTTGGAATCAGCCTGAGAAACAACAAGATCTTTGTCAAGTCCGGAAAACCCCCAGGGTTCTGATCTGCCTGTCTGTTAATCCAAAAGAGCACACAGGAGAAGCGGGTGGAGGAATCTGAGTTTAGGTGACTCTGGTGACAGAGATGGTTGGGGGCACAAGTGCTGGGCTCCCAGAGAGAAGCATGTGTTTCCCAACATTGAGCCAGGCAGGCAGAGAGGTGGCAGCTCCCCGAGGGACCGTGGGCAGGACTTGTAACTCCCTGGCCTGCCGCAGCAAAGGTGCACTGAGCAGATCAGATCATTGGCACAAAGCATGTCTGTTGGGTCGTAATAGTTCCCCAGGTGCTTTCCAGTCTGGGTCATTGAAACCTGGAGCTCACCGGGTATGCAGACCCCCAGGGTGGGGAGGGGGTGCATGCAGGGCTCCAGAGAGGATAGGAAGCCACAAAGGATAAAGCAGCTCTTCCTACAGCAGTGGCAGTTGCAGACTGGGACATGTGTGTACACATGTGTGCAGGTGCCTGTGTCCAGATCCACACGAGGACATAAGTGGAAATATGTGTTATCACTTCACTTCTGCATGAATTTTTTAATAAAGCCTGAGATGACCTGTCTCCCACTGGCATGTGAGCCCCCAGACCCACAGGTACAATGTCACTGTCCACGCCATTCTAAAGTTCCCCTACAAGGCATGGCCCAAGGGCTCTCTTGGATGTATGGAGACCCAGTGGTGCTTACTGGCTTCCCAATACTCCAAGGAAAAACCCAGCCACTTCCTGTTTCAAGGGTTGATGCCTCTTCAATGCCTGCCCTGGCCCAACCCCAGAAGCAGCCTTGATTTTTGAAGGGGTGGCATTGGCAGCCTGCCCATGGCCATCCTGTCACAACCAGTAGTCATAACTGTGGCTCCTCCTGCCTGGATCCTGGGCCCCACTTCTGGGCTGGCAATGCAGAAAAAAGCACTGGAGCAGGAGTAGGACAGGCCAGAGTTCAAGTCCTGACCCTCTGTCACCAGGAAGGGGCCTCAGCAAGTTGCCTGCCTCTCAGCCCTGGGGCAGCAAAATCTGCACACTAGTGCTTGGGGCAGTCATGAGCTTGGGTCTGGCTCCTCCTACAGTCTCCACAGCCCCACCCCATCTTTTTCTCCATTCCTGCAAAATGTTAGATCCCCTTTCCTTCTGGCTTTTACCCCACAAGGCACCGCATAAGGAAAAATAAAAGCAGCTGGCCAGTCTTCTGAAGGGCTCCTCTGCAACTACCCAAATGGGCGTGACTGTCGAGACTTCAATAAGCCCTGCCTGGGTTCCTCCCCTACAGGGAGAAGGTGAAATCAGAGCTCTCACACCTGCCCTGCGTCATTACTTCACATATGTCACTTCACCTGCATTAAGTCAACACCAGCACGGAGGCACCAGGAGACATTATCATATGGAAGGGGCCACACAGCCTTGAGACACAGACTGAAGATGTTGACTCTTCGTCCTGCAGCTGTTGATGGATGACCGGAAGGCAACCTCCCACTGCTTCCAGTTCCCCTCTGCAAGCTGAGTATTGATGATTAAATCCAAGCACCATGGAAGGGGAGTTCCCTGGCACCTGGCACATGGAAATTCTAGCTTCCACACAGCCTAAGCCTCAATTTTTCCTCTGAGAACACTCAAGTCTGGAGATGGAAAGTGACTTCTCAATCATCCCTGTGGACTTTTCAAAGGCATTTCTTCTCTTTGTTCTTTTGTTTATATTTTTAGCAGTGCTGGGGATTGAACTCAGGGCCTCACCCATGCTAGCAAGGTTCTACCACTTAGACGTTTGTTCTTAGCACAGAGGCCTCTTGGAAGTGAAACTGCCCATTAAGACTAAGGGACCAGTCTGGGATGGTGACCCTCCAAGCAACAGGACGAGTTCTGGGGAAACAGCCGGTTTTGCCCAGCTGACCTGAGCCCTTGCTCTCACTGCAGGACCAGCAGCAGGGAGGAGCAGGAAACTTCCTATCAATGATTCCATTCCTACAGATCCCTCAGGGCAAAGGGTTCCTATTGTGCAGAAACTGGTTTCAGGAGCCCAGCAGGTTCCCAAAAGCAGGATGGTGACAACATCAGAATTTGCTCTTGGGCCACTCCTTCCTGGCAGAGGACAAGGTCACCAACAGCCTCCCACATCAGTTCCCTTCCCTCAGGGCCTGGGCAACCTGACAGTGGAAGAGGTGCTCTTTGCAAGGTCAATAGCAGCCCGTTAGGAAGCCTCTGATTAATAAACCATTAATGTTAAATTATTGAAGGGCTAGGAAAGTGCTACGGTGATCAGGATAGACAGGAATGGGGAGGTTAGATGGAGGGAGAGGATGACAAAGAAAGATTAATTGAATATCTATGAGCAAGACATTTTGAGTGTGACAGTATGGCTTTCATGGCAACCACACTCTGACCTGTGTCCCCTCCCCCATTTTACAGAGGAGAAAACTGAGGCACAGAGGTTTACTGAGTGCCCAGGAGTAAATACTATTGAGTGGAACCTAACTAGGTCAGCTGGGGAGCTGGCTGGGGGGAAGTCCAGAGAATAGAGGACACCGGAAGGGGGTGAGGGGCTGGGTGGGTAACAGCCGAGGGGAGAGGCATCAGGAGGCAGAGGCAAGCAGGTGTGGGAGCAGGAGGAGCTGCCAGGTTTGGTTCTTAGAAGCACCCAGTTTCCCTCATGACCTTCATTTATGGGCATTTTTACAGATGTCTGTAAGATGAAGCTGGACCTCTGGGTCAGGGAAGCTGGTATCAGGGAGGAAATTGAGCCCTTCTGGTCTCCCTGTATCTGTTTCAGCCACTGTACCTCCCACTGCTCCTGGCTAACGAT